GTCACTCTACCAAGGTAATCTGATACAGAATATTCCCTTTAAGTCTCTTCTATTTTTCAATATATTCCAACATCATGGTACCAGGCATTTTTGATTTTTTTTGTTTATACCACCTGGGAAATAAAACGGCTGACATTTGACTTACAAAATGATAATCTCAGCCCTTCCCTCTCCAGAGTGATGATCTCAGCCCTTCCCTCTCGGAACAATCTGGGCAAAAGAGTGTCAGTGTAAGTTAGTCTCTAGCAATACTGAAGCTAAAAATACATAGAAAATCAATGTGAGCTATCACACGGTACACATATTTAGATGGGTGACACAGATGTTCACTGTATAATAATTGTTTAGTGCTTGTTATTAGGTTAATTATCAGGTTCCTACCTAAGATATGGCTAAGATATCTATCTTTACATGGTAATGTTACTGAGGTCTTAATGATCGTAATGAATAAAACACCGCACAAAGCTAGCTGCCTCATGTAAAAGACATTGTGCAAAGGTGCAAAAGTGATCATTGCGACCTTCACCTCTCACATCTGTATATATTGTCAGTGAGATTTCTATGCAAGACTTTAAAATATCGCTGCTACAGTATGACATGGAAATTCTTGTGGTTTGATTATAAAATATCACTGATAGAGGATGAAGAAGGACTACGGGTATTGCATAATTCGTTAAAGAAATCTGTTCCTTATTAGAGTTGTGAAACAAATTCTGTTCTTTCTAAACAAGTCATATAAACAAACTAAATAGAACCATATTATGATGATCAAATTTCTTCAATGAAAGAATCACATGATCAAATTTTTTTTTAACATTACAAAGTACTTGTTTTCTGTTGTCTCAGTGTTAGCATTTCATATTTCATGAAAGCGTATGGTCCAATGTGAACACTTTCCTGTATCGCAGTGTTCAGATACCAACTCTGATTAAAGGTTGGAGAGGGTTACTGTAGAGTGTTACATGGGTCACCAGTGCTCCAGATAGCCTGCGTGAATGCGTTTTCACGCACAATATTTCTAATTTCACCCTAGGAAAAAAATAAGATTTGCGTCATTAACCCGTGCGAAATCCGGACTCTGCGTCAATGTCCGGCTCCAATATTACGTAGTTAGAAAACTCAATAATCTAAGTCAAACAGACACTTATCAAGTAAACGAAACTCGTAACAAGCGCTTTCTTGATCGTGATTATAAACCAGTCGCATAGCAAATATGGCGCTGTCAAAAATGTTTACAAATTCAGTGTTACCCTAATATGGAAAAACCCATACACTTGTTGAAGGCAGGGGTGAAAAAACCCCTCAATTTATAAAGGTAGGAGTGAAAACCCCACATGTCAAAAAGTTATCTGGAGCACTGGGTCACGCTGTCAATTCATTTCAATATATTCAATACAATGCTGTATTAATGCACAGATATCCTCCTGAGGTCCATGATCATTGCTGTCATGTTGTGAAACAAAAATGATTGGAGTAAAATAAGATTTAGCTTACTATTGCACTTGGTCATTAGATGAAAGGTCAAGGTCAGATTTATCACTTGAATTGAAAACATTTCAGTCAAGTAGCCTAACGGATGTCCGTTTGTTTAGGTAATTTATGCCAAGGTCAAAGTTTGCTTGTATTACAAAGAAAAGTATTTTAACTATTACACTTTAAATTGGCTGTTACCTTAGATCTCAACATGGGAAATGGAGAATTTGGCTTCTGAATGATAAAATATGTCCATAATACAGCGATACACTCGTTGTTTTTGTACATATTTTTGGCATCAGAACATTGTTTATCTTGATTATTGTTTATAAACATGTTCACGTTCGGTTTATTATGAAGAGAGCCGCACATGTCTTATTATGACCGAGTGGGTCACAAAGCTAGTCACGTGACGAAGTCCTTTTCATCCACAGCAAAGAAAAAATGGATTACGGGGTAAACAAACCCACATGTCTTATGTATGACACTTGCTTTTGTGCCTTTCTGCTAATTCTTGTTTGCAGTAAATGATTCTATAATGTTATAATATATGATTTTTAACAATCAATCTTAGTAATTCTTTTTGTTTTGGCTTTGTCGTGTGAGAATTATCAATGTCAATCGCAGGCGCTAAATTAGTGGGGCCCCAGAAGGGGTAAATACAATCGGAAAAGAAAAAAACTCATTTGTGCAGAAATGCACAGGAATTGATACTTTGTCTGTACACATTAATAGATATTGCACTGTTTATTATGAAGGCTATGTTTATCATCGCGGTTGTTATTCTTACAATAACACCAGTACCGTCATATTTTTACACTTAGAAAGAAAACCCCCAATTGGGCCCCATCTTACAGTCAACAACAAACACGCGTTGTCGATAGTAAATACAAGCTAACATTTAGCTAACCAGTCAAGCAGCAGCTTTTGAAAATTCCGAATTTGTATTCAGTCCAAGATCCTCCTTCAACTTTCACCATCTACCGATCTCCTGTCTTATATAAATTCTTGTCTGTCCTTTTTTCTGGTCTGACTCCTTCCTCTTATGCTTTCTGCACTTTCTGTAAGGTAACTTTTAGGTCCGCGTCACCTTTTCGTATTTCGTCCACCATATTGCTTCTTTCTAGGCTTATACGCATGTGCAGTATCAGGGTTATGGGCTCCTGTCTTATATAAATTCTTGTCTGTCCTCTTTTCTGGTCTGACTCCTTCCTCTCATGCTTTCTGGCACTTTCTGTAAGGTAACTTTTAGGTCCGTGTCACCTTTTCGTATTTCGTCCACCATATTGCTTCTTTCTAGGCTTATACGCATGTGCAGTATCAGGGTTATGGGCGATAATATATAAATTAGATCAGGACCGCAATGTTTACATTCTTTATTTTTTAGATATCAATAAAAAGTGGTTGCAGTGACTTTTTATTTTAGTAATTAACAGAAAAATAGAAAATAGAAAGTTTTATATATTTCTCGTAGTGTTTTTTATCATTATAGTCGCTTTAACAAAAAAAAATTATCAGAACTGAAAATAAAAATGAAATTAACTTTCCAAAGTTCAAGGCCATCCAGGGAAATTTCAAATGTCATGTCTTGCATCAGATTCGCAGGAAGAAACTAGTTTCTTATAAATCATTGATGATTTTCCTGGAGACAATAAGATATACCATTTAGTTTTAAAACCAGTTGGCTCTTGTTACACAAGAAGATGCGTTTAGGTGATTAAAGATGCAGATGTAGGTCACTGTTGAGTTGTATTATATCAGCTCTTCTTTGTAGATTTGATTAAAAACATGTGGTTTCTATTAAAAAATGGCAGTGATTAATTACATACCTGATCATATAACAAAATTTATTGAGTCCTTTTCTGGCTTGTTCTTGTTCAAAATTTAAAGGAAATGTAGTCTAATTTCAGAGGAAGTTTAATTTAAGTTACGAATAGAACTAATGTAAATTCGATTCTACAACTTTCCCAAGTTATACACAATTGCAAAGTAAGATATTGATTTTCCAGTACGTAGTTACAGTGCTCCAGCATTGTGCCCCTGTGACATACAAGCAAGGTAATCCCTCCCAGAGGAATGTCATGATTAAACAAATGTAGGTCACAAAAAAGGTACTAAAACACTTCCCAGGAATGTTCATTTATGTACATTGGTCTCTATGGAACCTCTGGTGTCAATTCAGTTTTCCAAATATAGCCTAATTGTTAGGGAAAACCATTCCTAGTCTTGCTAAATCATGTGAACTTTTCCAAAAGTAGATTAGAATGTCCAACATTTGTCAATATTGACTTGTAAATGCAGTTTTATAAAATACCTCATGATATGTCAATTGTATTCCAGATTTTTCCTCTGAAATCGTTGGGGTTATACTTTTCCTCTACTTCACTCATTTTTAATGGCAGGTTGTAATTTCGTCTTTTCCTTATCATGGCCGTTTTGTTACCAAATCAGAAAGGTGAAATTATTAGATGTTGTAGTTTCCAGAAGATACTTTGTGGTGTACAGAACCACCTTAATGTTGTTGAATAAGCATGTAATATATATGATAGTAAAGAAAAGGAGCAATTCTTGAAGCCAGGTTTCATGCACTCACATCTTCCATCTACTGTGCTGGTAGCTGACATGTTTCAACCTAAGGGCAGGCCATCCTCAGGGCACTGCTTACATGGTTAAGAAAAATAAATTATGACATCAATACATTTCTAAGAAGTACTTCTAGACCAAAGTTTCCTGCTATACAGATTCAGAGACCAATTTCACTGAAACTTACATGTACCAAAATTAACACAAAGTTCAACTTCATCTACAGGCGAACTACTTGGAACCCAGTGGTAGTACATGGGTGGACTTTAGATGAACGTGTATAGACATTTTATTACACTAGTCATACAAATAACATAGACTTCGATTAATTTAATAATTTAATAATTATCTATAACATAATATATATATATATTGTATATACAACAAACAGTTATGTCATCATTGCATACTTATAACCATGATGGCGTTATGCCGCTTGAGCATACGTCACAAGTAGACAATTGAAGATGTCCCCACATTTTATGTACATTAGGTGCCCAAAATCACTGTTATGTTGTCCCGAAGAAGCCCCAATAAGGGGCGAAACCGGTCAACAAATAAATTTATGAATCTTCGCCTGTTGTGATTGACCTCTACGCCTTTGAAAGTTCAACATCAGTGTTTTTGTGTTTTCTTTCATGCAGATCATTTCTAAGTTTATGTCCTGATGTTGAAATGTAGCTTATAAATGTCCAATTTCTCTTAATCTTTAATATAAGTAAGCCCTGACAATGATATTTTGCATCTTGGTTTTGTTTTCTCATTTTGACTCTTCGCTATCTTGGGGGAAAAAAGGGACATTCATTTCAATTTTCATGTGGTAACAGCAAGGCTTTTGATATAATTCGTGTCCTCTTTGTCATTTATTATTAACAAAACCTTGGAAGTTTTGCCATCAAAAGTCAATAGTTCTGGAATAATGTGTTCATTTCTTTTCTTTTCAGGCTCCTTCTGCAGATGAAAAAGTCAATACACATTTTGTGGCATTTGTATGTAAAAACAACAAACTTTATGAAATGAGTAAGTATAGTTAGTCTGAATTTAATGTATGGTTAACCATTCAGTTCACTCCACAGACAGAGTTTCTGTTTCTAAGATCACATGAAAAAGAAGTGGACTCAAATTACAAGCATTGCCAAAGATAACTTAAAAGAAAGCAGAACACAAAAGATCTGTTATTTGATTGAAAAGACATTCTGTTGATTAAGTCTCTATATAGGTACATAGTGGGTTCATTTCACTGGGCAATCACTGGATATATTGCATTCATCTATAGTAGAATGTGCTTGGGTAACCAAAGCTTTACCTAATGATAATATAAACTTAAAAAACATTGGCTACATCCTTACAAGTTTAATAACTCTAAAATAGAATAACATGATGTTACCTCAATTTATCCTGCATGTGTAATTGATTTTTTGTGTCTTCTGAATATGTTGAAATTGATTATGTGACCAACAAAAGCTGTTTTGGGTTGATAGGTAAATGTATAGGTTCATGTACATTAAAGTACCTGAAAGCAACAGGTACATGTACAGGGAAAAGCTGTCTCTGCTCTAACAGGTGCTTGTACAATGGTTACCTGTCTCTCCTCTAACAGGTGCTTGTACAAGGGTTACCTGTCTCTGCTCTTAGCAGGTACATCTACAGAGTACCTGTCTCTACTAGAACTGGTACATGTACAGAGAGTACCTGTCTCTGCCCTTAACAGGTACATGTACAAGGAGTACCTGTCTCTGCCCTTAACAGGTACATGTACAAGGAGTACCTGTCTCTGCTCTTACAGGTGCTTGTACAAGGGTTACCTGTCTCTGCTCTTAGCAGGTACATCTACAGAGTACCTGTCTCTGCCCTTAACAGGTACATGTACAAGGGTTACCTGTCTCTGCCCTTAACAGGTACATGTACAGATAGTATCTGTCTCTGCTCTGAACAGGTACATGTACAGATAGTATCTGTCTCTGCTCTGAACAGGTACATGTACAGATAGTATCTGTCTCTGCTCTTAACAGATACATGTACAGATAGTATCTGTCTCTGCTCTGAACAGGTACATGTACAGAGAGTACCTGTCAGTGCTCTGAACAGGTACATGTACAGATAGTATCTGTCTCTGCTCTGAACAGGTACATGTACAGATAGTATCTGTCTCTGCTCTGAACAGGTACATGTACAGATAGTATCTGTCTCTGCTCTTAACAGGTACATGTACTGATAGTATCTGTCTCTGCTCTGAACAGGTACATGTACAGAGAGTACCTGTCAGTGCTCTTAACAGGTACATGTACAGATAGTATCTGTCTGCTCTTAACAGGTACATGTACAAGGAGTACCTGTCTCTGCTCTTAACAGGTACAATGTACAGATAGTATTTGTCTCTGCTCTGAACAGGTACCTGAACAGGGAGTATGTATACCTGTCTCTGTTCATAACAGGTACACATACAATGAGTACCTGTCTCTGCCCTTAACAGGTACATGTACAGAGAGTACCTGTCTCTGCTCTTAACAGGTATCTGTACAGAGAGTACCTGTCTCTGCTCTTAACAGGTATCTGTACAGAGAGTACCCTTAATTTTCGTGTATAGTGCACACTTTTTCAAGCTAAAACTGTCGTGTCAAAAAGGGGGTGCGCATTATACGCAGGAACATGCCATTCTTGGGGTTATCATTCCCGAGTTCTGCGTCCGCCATATTGGATTACCTCCCTTCACATAGTTACATGTAAAAGTCGTCAGTCATATATGATAGTTAGGAGATAAAAACAACAAAAAATAAATAAAATAAAATAAATTTCGAATGTTTTAATCATCAGCCATTCATGCTAGCATTACGGTGAATTGTTTTTTTTGTTTTTTTTTTCGTTTCCCGTCGTTGGAATAGTGACGGTCTTGCTATTGGTCGGGGCTATAGTAGTGTCCTAATTTCTGCCTCATTTTGTTGATGTATCAATGGAATTCAATGAGTGCGGAAGTTTTTGGGCATTGGCGACCCCATGACCTCTCTTGATCTGCATGACCCGCACACGCAGTTCTGTTGCACTGACAGCAATGCCGGCATCTCGGCGATCGCATACAAAGTTGGACAGCTCTCTCTCCATCTCTGGGTGATTCCTTGTCCCACCTATGTCAGCCCTTCTGGTCAGTGGTTGGGACTTTAGACGGTCTTTTTTTTCTTCTGTGCCTTGATATTTCACTCTGAAATGTCGAAGTGGCAACCAGCGGCACGAAACTCAAGTCTCTCGGCGTAGTCAATGGCGTTCGCTGTTTCCCCATGTCGAAGTCGGTGTAAATAATCTATAATTAAGTACCTTCGGATAGTGCGGTAGGTACAGATATGGGGACAAGGTATGATTGAAACTTTTCAGACATTTAAATCAACATCGTTTTCTGAGCAATAGTACGCATACAGCCGAAGCCGGGTGTCATCAATCTCCTCATACTCAACGTGTTTGTTACCTGGTAAGAACCGTTAATTATCCAATAAGCCAAGCCTTTCATGCTTGTTAAGTCAGGCACCTGTGTTAATTTGTTTACATAAGGTAATTAAATATGTCAGGGTCACGATAATTGTGGTTTCCTAATATCAATGGATCAAACCACAACTGAATCATCGCGGTAACCAGTAATCAATTAATCTTTCTGTAGAAAATATATAATTTTTTTTTAATCTCGCCCCAAAAAAGTACCTGCGCACTATACCCGAATGCGCACTATACCCGCAAATTTACAGTATCTGTCTCTGCCCTTAACAGGTACATGTACAGAGTACCTGTCTCTGCTCTTAACAGGTACATGTACAGAGAATACCTGTCTCTACACTTAACAGGTACCTGTACAGAGAGTACCTGTCTCTGCTCTTAACAGGTACATGTACAGAGAGTACCTGTCTCTGCCCTTAACAGGTACCTGTACAGAGAGTACCTGTCTCTGCTCTTAACAGATACATGTACAGAGAGTACCTGTCTCTACTCTAACTGGTACATGTACAGAGAGTACCTGTCTCTATTCTAACAGGTACATGTACAGAGAGTACCTGTCTCTGCCCTTAACATGTACATGTACAGAGAGTACCTGTCTCTGCCCTTAACAGGTACATGTACAGAGTACCTGTCTCTGCTCTTAACAGGAACATGTACAGAGAATACCTGTCTCTACACTTAACAGGTACCTGTACAGAGAGTACCTGTCTCTGCTCTTAACAGGTACATGTACAGAGAGTACCTGTCTCTGCCCTTAACAGGTACCTGTACAGAGAGTACCTGTCTCTGCTCTTAACAGATACATGTACAGAGAGTACCTGTCTCTGCCCTTAACAGGTACATGTACAGAGAGTACCTGTCTCTGCTCTTAACAGGTATCTGTACAGAGAGTACCTGTCTCTGCTCTTAACAGGTATCTGTACAGAGAGTACCCTTAATTTTCGTGTATAGTGCACACTTTTTCAAGCTAAAACTGTCGTGTCAAAAAGGGGGTGCGCATTATACGCAGGAACATGCCATTCTTGGGGTTATCATTCCCGAGTTCTGCGTCCGCCATATTGGATTACCTCCCTTCACATAGTTACATGTAAAAGTCGTCAGTCATATATGATAGTTAGGAGATAAAAACAACAAAAAATAAATAAAATAAAATAAATTTCGAATGTTTTAATCATCAGCCATTCATGCTAGCATTACGGTGAATTGTTTTTTTTGTTTTTTTTTTTCGTTTCCCGTCGTTGGAATAGTGACGGTCTTGCTATTGGTCGGGGCTATAGTAGTGTCCTAATTTCTGCCTCATTTTGTTGATGTATCAATGGAATTCAATGAGTGCGGAAGTTTTTGGGCATTGGCGACCCCATGACCTCTCTTGATCTGCATGACCCGCACACGCAGTTCTGTTGCACTGACAGCAATGCCGGCATCTCGGCGATCGCATACAAAGTTGGACAGCTCTCTCTCCATCTCTGGGTGATTCCTTGTCCCACCTATGTCAGCCCTTCTGGTCAGTGGTTGGGACTTTAGACGGTCTTTTTTTTCTTCTGTGCCTTGATATTTCACTCTGAAATGTCGAAGTGGCAACCAGCGGCACGAAACTCAAGTCTCTCGGCGTAGTCAATGGCGTTCGCTGTTTCCCCATGTCGAAGTCGGTGTAAATAATCTATAATTAAGTACCTTCGGATAGTGCGGTAGGTACAGATATGGGGACAAGGTATGATTGAAACTTTTCAGACATTTAAATCAACATCGTTTTCTGAGCAATAGTACGCATACAGCCGAAGCCGGGTGTCATCAATCTCCTCATACTCAACGTGTTTGTTACCTGGTAAGAACCGTTAATTATCCAATAAGCCAAGCCTTTCATGCTTGTTAAGTCAGGCACCTGTGTTAATTTGTTTACATAAGGTAATTAAATATGTCAGGGTCACGATAATTGTGGTTTCCTAATATCAATGGATCAAACCACAACTGAATCATCGCGGTAACCAGTAATCAATTAATCTTTCTGTAGAAAATATATAATTTTTTTTTAATCTCGCCCCAAAAAAGTACCTGCGCACTATACCCGAATGCGCACTATACCCGCAAATTTACAGTATCTGTCTCTGCCCTTAACAGGTACATGTACAGAGTACCTGTCTCTGCTCTTAACAGGTACATGTACAGAGAATACCTGTCTCTACACTTAACAGGTACCTGTACAGAGAGTACCTGTCTCTGCTCTTAACAGGTACATGTACAGAGAGTACCTGTCTCTGCCCTTAACAGGTACCTGTACAGAGAGTACCTGTCTCTGCTCTTAACAGATACATGTACAGAGAGTACCTGTCTCTACTCTAACTGGTACATGTACAGAGAGTACCTGTCTCTATTCTAACAGGTACATGTACAGAGAGTACCTGTCTCTGCCCTTAACAGGTACATGTACAGAGAGTACCTGTCTCTGCCCTTAACATGTACATGCCCTTAACAGGAACATGTACAGAGAATACCTGTCTCTACACTTAACAGGTACCTGTACAGAGAGTACCTGTCTCTGC